TGCTATAGTGTTAGTACGATTTCATGAGTTTAGAAGAGACAAGATAGGAAGGTGACAGTGTAACGTTATGTAACATGTGATATCCGTGGGGGTTATGTTCCAAGGACCTGCCACAGGTACTGCAACCCTGAATACCAGCGAACCCTATATACATGTCGTTTTTCGTTTGCATGCATAACTATTATAAAGTTCAATGGATAAATTATACACAAATAGAGAATAATCACTTTTTGACTAATAGGAATCACTTTTGCTTCTCTCAGGCAGTGAACTACCGCCACCATCACTACTTTTGTACTTTGAGGTCATTATTAAGCAGAATTAAGAGTTATTTTTGAGCCAAGGTAAACGGCAGATACCAGACCCGTGGATAACGGGGTCTTACTCTAGTTGACTTGGCTGATTATGTTGTGTTTTAGGCAAAACTTAAAGCTAACTCCTTACTTACATTTTACATAAATAGATAAATTTTTAATTGTCCTATATTTAATATCAGTTTTGTAGATACTACTGTATAATTAATTTATTCACTTCTCATATAAATTAAGTCAAACATTGATAAACACAAGTATGTACCTTAAAACTGTACACTTTGTGATGGGTGTGGGGAGGTTGTTTGGTGTGTGGGGAGGTTGTGTGGTGTGTGGTGAGGTTGTGTGGTGTGTGAAGAGGTTGTGTGGTGTGTGGGAAGGCTGTGTAGTGTGTGGAGAGGTTGTGTGGTGTGTGGGAGGCTGTGAGGTGTGTGGGGAGGCTGTGAGGTGTGTGGGGGAGGCTGTGAGGTGTGAGGAGGCTGTAAGGTGTGTGGGAAGGCTGTGAGGTGAGTGGGGAGGTTGTGTGATGTGTGGGGAGGCTGTGTAGTGTGTGGGAGGCTGTGTATGTGTGGGGAGTTGTGGTATGTGTGGGGAGGTTGTGGTATGTGTGGGGAGGTTGTGGTATTGTGGGGAGGTTGTGGTATGTGTGGGGAGGTTGTGGTATGTGTGGGGAGGTTTGGTTGTGTGTGGGAGTTGGTGTGTGTGGGGAGGTTGTGGTGTTGGGGGAGGTTGTGTGGGGAGGCCGTGTAGTGTGTGGGAGGCCGTGTAGTGTGTGGAGAGATTGTGGTGTGTGAGGAGGCTGTGTGGTGTGAGGAGATATGTTTGGTGTGTGGGGGGGTTGTGGTGAGTGGGAAGGTTGTGTGGTGTGTGGGGATGTTTGTGTGGTGTGTGGGGAGGCAGTGAGTGTGTGGGAGGTTGTGTGATGTGTGGGATTGTGTGGTGTGTGGGAAGGTTGTGGTGTGTGGGGAGGTTGTGAGGTGTGTGTGGGGAAAGTTGTGATGTGTGTGGGAGGTTGTGTGGGGTGTGGGAGGTTGTGATGTGTGGGGAGGTTGGATGTGTGTGGGAAGGTGTGTGTGTGTGGGGAGGTTGTGTGGTGTTGGGGAGGTTGAGTTGTTTGAAGGTTTGTGTGTGTGTGGGAAGCTTGTGATGTGTGTGGGGAGTTGAGTGGAGGGTGGGGGGTTGTGTGGGGGGTGGGGAGGTTTTTGTGGTGTGTGGGAAGGTTTTTGGTGTGTGGGATGGTTGTGTGGTGTGTGGGATGGTTGTGTGGGGAGGTTGAGTGGGGGGTTTGGTGTGGGGGGGTGGGGAGGTTGAGGTGTGTGGGAAGGTTGTGTGGTGTGAGGGAGGTTGTGTGGTGTGAGGGGAGTTGTGGTATGTGGGAGGTTGTGAGGTGTGTAGGAAGGGGTGTATGGGTTTTTTGGAAGGTTGTGAGGTGTGTGGGAAGGTTGGGGTGTGTGGGGGGGTTTTGTGGGGTGGGGCAAGGTTGTGTGGGTGGAAAGGGTTGTGGGGTGTGGGGGGGGGGTTGTGGGGGGTGGGAGGTTTTTGTGGTGTGTGGGGGGGTTGTGTGGTGTGGGGAGGTTGTGGGTGTGGGCAAGGGTTGTGGGGTGTGGCAAGGTTTGGGGTGTGTGGGAGATTGGAGTTGTGTGGGAAGGGTTGTGATGTGTTGTGGGGGAGGTTTTTGATGTGTGGGGGGAGGTTGAGGGGAGGGGTGGGGGTTGTGTGGGGGGGTGGGGAGGTTGTGAGTGTGTGGGAAGGTTTTGGTGTGTGGAAGGTTTTGTGGTGTGTGGGGAAAGTTGTTGGGTGTGGGAAGTTTGTGTGGTGTGTGGGGAGGTGTGTGTGGTGTGGAAGGTTGTGTGGTGTGGGGATGGTTGGTATGTGGGATGGGTGTGGTGGTGTGGGTGGTGTGTGGGAGGGGTTGTGTGGGTGTGTGGGGAGGTTGATGGAGGTGGGGGGTTGTGTGGTGTTGGGGGAAGGGTTGTGGTGTGTGTGTGGAGGTTGTGAGGTAGGTGGGGAGCTGTTGGGTGGTGGGAATGTTGGTGTTTTGGGAAGGTTATGAGGTTGGGTAGTTTGTAGCTGTGTGGGGAGTTGTTTGGTGGGGGAAAGGTTGTGAGGTGTTGGGGAAAGGTTGCGTGTGAGGTTGTGAGGTGTGGGGTAGAATTGTGAGCTGTGTGGGAGGTTTGTTGTTGTGGAAGGTTTGAGTGGGGTGGGGAGTTGCTTGGTGTTGTGGGGCTGTGTAGTGCGTGGGAAGGGTTTGAGAGTCGTGGGGGAAGCTGTGTGGGAAGTTGAGGTTTTGGGGGGGAGCTTTTTAGGGTGGGGGAACTCTGTGGTGTGTGGTTGATTGTGTGGTGTTTGAGAAGGTTGCGAGGTGTGTGGGGAGGTTGTGTGGTGTGGGGGAAGGTGTGGGTGTGGGAAGGTTGTGTGGTGTGTGGGGAAGTTGAGGTGTGTGGGGAAGTGTGGGTGTGTGTGGAGGTCGGTGGGTTGGGAAAAATTGGAGGTGTGTGGGGAAGCTGTGAGTGAGTGGGGAGGTTGTGATGTGTGGGGAGGTTGTGGTGCGTGGGGAGGTTGTGTGGTTTTGGGGAGGTTGTGTGGTGTGTGGGAGTTGTGGCGTGGTTTGTGGGGGGTTGTGTGGTGTGGGGGGAAGGTTGTGGGTGTGTGGAGAGGTTGTGTGGTGTGTTGGGGGGTTTGTGTGGGGGTTTGGGAGGTTGTGTGGTGTTTGGGTTGTGTGTGTGTTGGAGGTTGTGGGGTTTGGGTGTGGGAAGTTGGTGTGGTGTGGGGGTACGCTGTGGGGGTTGTGATAAAGGTTGAGGTGTGTGGGGAGGTGTGTTGTATATGAGGAGTTTGTGGGTGTGTGGGGGGGCTGTTGTTGTGGGGAGGTTGTGTGTGAGGAGGCTGTGTGGTGGTGGGGGGGTTATGAGGGCGTGGGGAGGTTTTGAGGTGTGTGGGGAGGTTGTAAGGGGGTGTGGGGAGGTTGTAAGGGGTTATGGGGCAGGTTGTAAGGGGTGTGTGGGAGGTTTTCGCAGGGTGTGGGGAGGTGTCACGGGTGTTACTGGAATGGGGAGGTTGTGGGATGTGTGGGGAGGTTTTGGGGGGGGGGTTGGGGGTGAGAGAGAATTCCATACCTGGAAGAGGACCAAGACTTCAATGCCCTTAGTCCATATAAGGGATTATGAACAAACTTGTCTTCGAGGGAGAACTTGAAGAGTTCATCCGTTCCTGATCGGCTGGTCTGTGGTGGATGTGTTGGACTGCATGTAGCCAACATCCATGCCTGGTTTATGAGGCCGGCAGTTGGGAGACCTTATCTGTGACTGGGCTGAGAGTGGTGACCCCTTGGGATCAACATTGGGTAAGTAGCTTTTTTAAGTTTAATACTCTATTGCAAAAAAAAAAAATATTTTTTAGTTATGTTAACCCTTTCACTGTCCAGATCGTTGAAATTCAAAGTGCTCAGTTTCCACATTTGAAAAAATGAAATTTGATGGAAAACTTGTGGAATTATGCAGGCACAAAGTTAGTGGTTTGGGCGCAATTTATGCATTAGCGATTTCTGTTTTGAGTCTTATTTTAAGGTAATGTCATTGCTCATTTTGACCAGATTTGAAGCTATTTCACTAGTATACCTTCCATTCTATTGTCTGAGCAAAAGAAACCACCCATTCTGTTATCAAAACTACCCTATAAAGTGCACAGAAATCAGTAATTTTGGCCAGTTTTACACAATTATAAAAAGTTCATTAATTACATCACCAGGAATCTCCTATATTATAATTTCCTTCCATTTTGAATTCATCATACAAACAATTGAAGATTTACCATATTTCTCAAGACAATTTAATACACCAGGAATGATTGATCATGATTTACGGTTTAATTGGAGATGCAGAGGCAAGAAACAAAAGCATAAGAGCATAAAAAAAATATAGAAAGTGAAAATAGACAAAAACAGAAAAAAATAATAGATTAGCCAGAAATGGATATGCTAGGGTGAAGAGAGAGGTTGACTGGACAATTTGAGAATGACAGTGGCAAAAGCCAAGTCTGTTGTCTATCAGTCAACCACAACTCAATCCAGGAGATAATTTGTCCTATACCACGTGTTGCTACTTTCTTCATTAGTCTCCCATGTGGAACTTTATCAAATGCCTTACTGAGATCCATATACACAATGTTTATTCATTATCATGATCTGCCGCTTCATATCCCCGAGTGAAAAAAGTTAGTAAATTCAAAAGGCAGGAACACCCCTTTGATTCAAGGAATTAAACCTACCATCTTCTACCTCATATCACACCTGATTACGTCCCATGTCCCAGGTGTTGAATGACTTGCAGATCTAGCCCTTCCTCTTGAATATAATAATAAACATGAGAGGGTTAAAGAAAGGGAGATGCGCAGTTGCAAATAAAAATGCGAAAAGGAAGAATTTATATCCATAAGTGATAAGAGAAATTCAAGAGTTGTTGTCATTGATGCTGCTGCAGCAGCAACAATATTACAGTACGTATTAATATTTTACTATTATTTTTATTGTATTCACAAAAAGAACTACAATCAAATGTCATACAGCACTGATAGTACCATAAATAAAAAAAAAAAAAAAGCAAGGAGGGGGAAAAGAAAAATTGTGGTCACTAATAATGGGTAAATCTCTCACTTCTAATATTCCAAAAAGGTTAATATTAAAACAATCCAGCTTTTTTTTATTTATTTTTGAGGAATGCACCTGTACATGCTTCGGGTACAAAATATGTACAAAAATGTTAGCGTTATCATCATCAGCATCGTCTCGCTAGAAGACATTCCTCATACAAGCTAAATTCACTCGTATATTCATTCATACATCGACATTTTCCTAAGACAATATGTATTATGCAAAGTTAATATCAAGCTTTTATATCAACAATTTTCCCCCCCACAAGGACTGCCCATAATTCTGAACCCACTGACTGAAAACATTAAAACATTATATTGAAACCCATTAACAAGCGTGATAAATTAGGACTGTAGTAAATCTAATAAAGCTTGTACAGAATAAAACACCAGCAGCAACAAAGTTGTTTTTATCAATTATTAAATATTTAACCACATAATGAGATCACATACCATAACTTCAAAGTACATTAATTGTGCTACATATGATTTTTGATGAGTTTTTCTTATAAACATTTACATTCAAGAAATACAAATAAAAATATAGAAAAATATTACAATATATAATTTTAAATCTACATACGTACATGAAATACACACATGTAAATAAATTTAACAAAATGAACATTATTGATTTGATATACAAACAATGAATCCAAAAAAATTATAACTACGAACAATTTTGTATTACACAGATGAATACATGTAGTATTAAATATAAAAAAATTTCAACATCTGGAAATTAAGATGATAAAAGTTGCAAATATATTTTTCATAAAAAATTATGCCAGCATAACAAAGGCATATAATTGTTTCCCATCCTATCCTGGTGAGGATATACGACTTTTCAACATCCTTCCATTAACTATAAGGGGAATTAGTAATAAATCTGTTTTCAACTGATCAACCAGGCTGTGATTGTGTGCGCATGTTCAGAGTACATCAACAGCCTTGCTAATCAGGTCAACAGAGAGGCCTGGTCTCGGTCCTGGACCAGACAATGATTTCTGAAACCATCTTCAGGTAAATGTAGTAAAAAAAAAACTCTTGGTACATTTGGATTTTGTTTTGAGCTTAATATTGAAAAAAAAATCTATCCAAATTGTTTTTCTTTTTCATTCTGGTGTGTTTCTTTGCCTCGTTCATAAGCAGTAGTTTCGTCTTCCTTTATGCACAGGTTTCACCTAGTCATGTCTTAAGGTACAATGCATTAATAACTTCTGCTTCATCATTTTTATATACAAATAACTGTGGCAACAATTTGATACTTGGGTTGAAGAGGAATGACCATTGCAGGTTGGTAAAGCAGTGAAAGTAAATGATTAAAACTGGAATGTTGAAAGTAGGTGGAGTGTTGGGACTGTTAGTGTGTTGCTTCACTGAGGCTGTGATAGAAGGAAAGATGTTCAAGGATTTGCAGGATTCCTTTTTAATTACCTATTTGTAATTACCTGTTGAAATCTACAGGAGTGGAGTTGTACTGATTGTGTTCCATTTTTGGTAATTATTTCATATACAGTATTTTAAGTAGTTATAGTACTCTCTAACTTATTCCTGTATTTCACCAGCTGTATTGTGGTGGCAGTGCTTGTATAAATGTGAGACAGTCTCTTGAGTGTAGCTGTGAAGAGGACAGTGATGTTGGAGACAATGGAGACACATCTAAGATTGTGTGTTAATATAAGGAGAATAGGAAAATTAACAGAAAATGGTTTGTGGTATGAGGTGTAATTAAAAGACCAAAAGGGCCAAGATGATTTTAGTCATGTAGAAAGAATGGTGCAAAGTTTATTAATGGTAATGGATGAATGAGAATGAATGCGTGACAGGAATAAAGAGTATTGTTCCTTCCTCCCAACTTTTTCCCACATACATTTCACCCCACACTTATGCTTTAAAGGGAAAGGGAGGGGGGGAGGTAGTAAGTTACTAAATGCTGTATAGAGTTTTTATGAGGATAGGCTCATATTAGGGTGTGTAGGAGAGGGAGAGATTGCTTTTCAGTACAAGTAGGTCTTAGACAGGGATGTGTAATGTCACCATGGTTGTTTAACATATTTATAGATGGAGTTGTAAAAGAAGCCAGCGCTAGGGTGTTGCGTAATGGAAGACAGTTGGAAGTGAACGTAGATAAGAGTAAGGTGATGAGGATATCAAATGAGTTGGGTAAAGGAAAATTGATATCACATTGGGAGGGAGGGAGTATGGAAGAAGTGAATGTGTTCAGACATTTGGGAGTTGACTTGTCAGCGGATGGGTTTATGAAGGATGAGGTTAACCACAGAACTGATAAAGGAAAAAAAAAAAAGGTGAGTGGTGCACTGAGGTATCTGTGGAGACAAAAAACATTACCCATGGAGGCAAAGAAGGGAATATACAACAGTATAGTGGTACCAACACTCTTATATGGTGGAGGGAGAGAGGGGGTAAAAGAGGTTTTGTGTGCAAGGGACTTGGACATGCAGCAGGCATGTGTGAGTGTGTTAGACAGGAGCGAATGGAGATGAATGGTTTTTGGGACCTGATGAGCTGTTGCAGTGTGAGCAGGGTAATATTTTGTGAAGGAATTCAGGGTAAACCGTAGGTGGGAAGTACAATGCTTGTACTTTAAAGAAGGAGTTTGAAATATTGGCTGTTTTTAGCGACATCTAAACTGTCATATCTGGGTGCCTATGCAAGGACAGTGATTGTGTGTGAATGATATTGAGTGTTGCTTTTTTGGTCACTCTGCCTCGGTGGGAGACAGCCGACGTGTTGAAAAAATGTGTGTATATTAGGTTATTATACATTGTTTTGTGACTCATACAGCACAATCTGATAGTTACATACATCCAGCAGCAACAGCTTCCCATCTGATGCCTTGAATGAAGTAGTTTATATTGTCCTGTCCCCTCCCGCTAACCCCCCACCCCCACACACACACACACCGCACTTGATTAATTCTCTAACCTAACTCCCTCACCTTCTAAGTCCTTTTCCTCACATCCAACCTTTCTTTTCCTTACATCCTCCCTCCTTCAGTCACCATAAACTCTATAAAAATAATGAGCTTTGCCACATTTCTCAAAATCATCATCTCAGGGAAACAAATGAGAATGTTCTTAGTGCTTCCAGTTTTTCTTTGGACCATGCCTTTCAATAGCTTTGGGAACCATTTTGTAACTCAAATTTATGGTTTATCTATTACAGTACTATGTATTATTTGTATTAAAGGTGCATGGTGCACACTGTACAAGAGGGTGAGGGAAGAACAACCTTGATACTGCTGAAGGTTTGTTATTCACGGAATTGGAGCCTTCACCCATTCCCCCTTTCTTAGATCAAATTTGATTACCCCCTATTTCCCCAGGTACTACACAACTCCTTTAGGTTTAGTGTTTCCCTGAAATATAATGATACTTTAGGTGAGGACACCATGACCACTAGATATTACAATTTTAGTCTAACATTGTGGACATCTTATTTAGCATTTTTTCCATCACTTTATCTAGACTATCTTGAAGTTTATCAATATTGCATGTATTTTTCTTATTAAATTTGATATTCTTATGGTGATCTTCCATAATTCCTTTGACTTGCCCCTCTCTCTCCAGCTCTCAATATTTTCTCCCATAATGCACACATTCTTCATGTGGCCTTTCTCACCTTTCATTATGGTATTAATCTACTTGAAATTATATAATACATCCATCACACTACTAACTTAATTTATCCAGGTTTCTTTGAGAGAGAGAGTCATTTTGTTATGTTTTACAGAATATCTTACATCATCCACAAACGTTTGATAATTTTTATTCCTTCTGGTAATATATTAATAGAAACTGAAAACATTGGGCAGTCATCCTTGTGATCTTATCAAAACATAATTCCTCTTTACCATTGTTTATAAGTTGCTAACACAAAAAAATCTCATCCAATATAACATTTATTATTTATTTCTCCTATATTTTGTTGCAGATTAATCTTTCACGAGGAGATATATTAAAAGCTTTTTTAAAAATCAAAATAAATGCAATCTACCCATATATTGTATAATTTTACTCATATTAGCTTAAGACTTGATATACAGTACAGTATTTTAATCAGAAACCAAAGTATTTGGCAGGACATTTTTAACCACTCTCCTATAATAGCTGCATGTTTTATTTGTTTGCAAATACTCGCAATCTGTGGTCTAGCTTCTTAATCTTCAAATAATTGATACAAATGGCTCATTCCTACCATAGTCTTTTGAGCTCTTATTAAATTTACTTTGGAACCCATTAATGAATTTTGTCTTTGCTACCTCTTCACTTGGCTCATAATTGTTTTTCATGATTACACTGGAAAATAGTTCTTGACATCCCTGTGGCTCATCTAGGCATTCAGTTTAGATTTATGCCTATTTGTTCTCTCCTTGCCATAACAGGCACTCTGTCCTTTTCTATTCTGTTTATACCATGGAGTATCTTGTCCAGTGGCAAAAGCCTTGGCTCCTGGTGCCATTCCTCACAGCTCATACACTTAAGCTCTGGGTGGGTTTAGTACTTAGTTTTGATTATAATAATAATCTGGGTGGCAAACCACTTTGTGCTTGGCTAGCACTGACTACACACTAGTGCTGCAATGTCAACTAGTAACTCATACATGGTGTACAGCATCTTTAATGACAGAAGTTTTTATAATAGCCAGTCATGTAAACAATGATGGTATGTCTAATCTGTGCTTCAGGATATAAGTCAGGAGTGATGTCCGTCCCCTGATATTGTCCAATGCCTAAAGTTTCTTCTCTGTCAGATAAACTATTGTTTCTGGTTTCATTTCCTTAGCTGGCATCATCATCACTGCATGTACTAGGGGCTTAATTCTAACAAACACTTATCCTCCAACATTACTCCTTAGCTCCTTAGATCAAATGTACAATATCGACAAGATGATAAGTAAGACGTGCAACACCTGGGTATCTTTATTGAGAAGCAGACATGTATGCCTTTTATACTGAAGAAATGGAGAGGTGTAGCAGTTGACAGCATGGTCACATGTGGACTGGACCTCATCTGCTTCCCCAGTGGGCCCCGCCTACATGTGACCAGGTCTTCTATTGCTGCATCTCGAGACACTTCTTCCACTAGCTCCAGTATAAAAGGTTTGAACTTCATGCCTTTGCATTCGACTGATAAAGACTGCCACATATAAGAAAAGTCTCTGTACAGATGCTCAGGTATTGCACATGTTATATTCCTCTCTAACCTCCAATGTCTGAAGGCTGCAGATGAATGACATCTTTGCATCATCTGTAACTAGCAACATGTAAGAATCCTTTTCCTGTTACTACTCTTCAGTATCAAATGATTTCTTCAATTTCTAGTGGTTGTTGTTACACTTAATACCTCTTGTAACCCAGTTCATTGGCAGAAAGACATTTGGTACAGAGCAAGCCTTCATGGACACCATTTTGCCCTTTGCATAGCTTTATCAAGTCATGGCTTGGTAAAGTTCTACACAGAACAAAACAGTGTCAATAATAAGGGTTTAGTCTGCACTGAGTATCTTCCTACCATACTTGTTGGTAACACCTGCCATTAAAACACTCGTTCTGTTGTTCCACTACTGTGATGACCATTTTAGTATCTTTCCATCACCTCTTGTTGCTTAGTGTTTAGCTATGATCTCTTGTTCTCCCTCTTGGTGTTAGGAAATGTTCCTTACTGATTCTCTTATCCTTCTATAATCTTGTGTATTGATAATGTATCATCCTTTCTTCCTCTCAGCTGATTATTTTCTGTCAACTACAACATAATACAACAACCCTTAATATTTTTACACATTTTAATTGGATGAGAATTTGTTTACAGAACATACATTGTGAGTATTACAACATTACCTCTAATCCCTAAATAAGTTATCTTTTGATTTGTATTTTAGACACTTCTAACAATTCTTAAAGTTCCACTTGTATGGATTATAATCGTGAGAATTCCTTAGCTGACAGAATAATTTCAAATGATTTGAAACTATCAAAATTTAAATCTTTTGTGTTATTGCTTTTCAGTAATAATTTCATTAAGAAATCAGTGAGACTGCTAAAATAATGAAATGAAGCATGGGAAGTTCATAGTAAAATGGTAAAAAATTACATTTTGGACGGGTGAGTGGATGGACATGGCTCACCTTTACTTAGAGGAACATCTGTAAGCCATGTCCCTCCTGCTCCTGACAGGATGAATCCAAATTTAAGTTTACTCGTAAAGTAACAACAATTATATACTTCACAACTAAGGGCATGCTGAATCTTTGTAATTAGTATAATACATTTATTGCCACTGTATTTACTTAAGAATGGAGTATGCTTGATTACACACATTCCCCACTTCACTCATAGAATTCTGTGCACTACACAGTATAGAAGCTATACAATATTTACATTACCTTTAGTGGATTTTCCAGCTATAAAAATACACCCTGAATTCCCAATTATTGAGGACAACATTACTGTGAAAATATATCTTGAAGGAACATTACCAAATCATTGGAATACAAACAAACACCATTCATCCTTCACTCACACAAGGACAACATTCTCACATACAGATTATCATGACTCAGTATTCAAAGAAGTGGTAAATACATTTAACGTACTGAAGTCTATTGGGTGCAACATTGTACCAATGAAGACCACTGCATTAAGTGTGTGTACCACTTGCCAGCATTACGCCTTTATTTAGTATGTGGTATCCACAAAAGTATTCAGTCTTAAGATGTTCACATATAAAACTGGAATTTCCCTAAGACTAACAAGTGGTGGTGGTGGTAGTGTGTATTGCCAACAGATTTTGAACTTAGCTGCTATGCATTTTTACCAAGTTTAAACAAAATGCTGCATCACTAGATTTCCAGGTTATTGTGTAAGGAGTACTAGGGACCAATCCAGTGACCTTACTCGCATAACAGCCATGCCAACTACATCACCTAGTGTACAAAAATCTTGTGAACTTTATTAGACATGTGTCTAAGCCAAATTTTGTGAAGAGTGTCCCTTCAATTGAGGAGTGGTAAAGGGAAAATGGTGGAAGGGAAATGCTACCATTCCCTTACTTTGATTACCTCCAATTTTCCTAGTGCTGTATAATCTTTATGGGTATGACAATTTTCCCTGTAAATAATTGTACACTTGGACCACTGACTAGTCAATGGTCCAAGCTGGACTGAAACTGTCGTTATAAGTTTTTCTTCTATGTGCAGGTTATTTCTGTATTGTTCCAGTCACATTATTGTGCCTTTATGTTCTTTCTTGTACACTCGGTGGTAGTCTTGCATAAGTTGCTTCACCAGTTCATCTCCAGTGCTCTTTAAACAATGTTACTTTCATAGTATTGTAAAATTTTCATTTCATATCAGCTTAACTGTGAAGTGAATGAGCTAGCATCTAGTGTTTATAAATCAATCTTTCACATAACAGACTAAGAATTTCATATAAACTATCAAAAATATAAATTCAAGTAAAAAAAAATTACTTTATAAACATTAATTATTATTATAATCAAAAAGAAGCGCTAAGCCACAAGGGCTATACAGCGTATAAACATTAATTATGAGACTAGTTCTGATGAGTTCCAGTAAGTATTTTACTACAATGGAAAACCTTCGTTTAATTTTTACTATCTGTTCTCCACTAATGCTCAAATATTATTAAATAAGCTAGGAAACGCACAATAGTTTGAAAACTGTTTCATTAGATCATGGTGTATGTCACACACTGCCATTTAAAAACCTAAATTTTATTTTAAGTTCATTAAAAATCACCAAGATGATTTATGATGAATTACAAATTACAAGCATGTTTCACAGACCTGTAGACTTTGTAGTTTCAACATTCATTTCAGATTATTATTATTATAATCAAAAAGAAGCGCTAAGCCACAAGGACTATACAGCGCTGCAGGGCAGGAAGGAAGCGAGGGCATCAGGTGGCAAAAGGGAGATGAATGAGTAATAGGTTACGGATAACAGCGGGGCAGTGGATGGTGAAAGGGTAAAGGGCAGCAAGAGACTGAACTAGAAAGGGCTGAGGGGAGTGCGAAAAGTATCATCAGAGTTTGTGGAGTAAATCAGTCGTTGTCAAGAAGTCAATGAGAGAGTCAGGATTAAAGGAGGGTCCATCAGCAAGAAGGGAAGGTAGAGAGAGAGTAGTAGAACAAAGACGACGTTGGAGGTAAATTCTGCGTGCTCGTTGATAGAGAGGGCAGTCTAACAGAATGTGGCTAATCGATACTGGAACTTGACACTGCTCACAGAGAGGAGCAGGGTGCCTCTCCATGAGATACCCATGAGTAAGACGAGTGTGGCCAATGCGAAGGCGGGAGAGAGTGGTCTCCCAACCTCGGCACTGATGACAAGAAGACGGCCAGTAACCTATGCTCGGTTTAATAGAATGAAGTTTGTTACCTTTAAGGGTTTAGTACTTAGTTATGATTATATTATTATTTACCAAGCTAAATAATTGTTACGTTAGACAATTTAGTGTATGCTTCAGCTGTATTAAATATCAGATTCAGTTTAAAGAAAGCTGTAAAAATATAAGTAACTGCATTACCGAGATCTACAGACCATTTCAGATGCTTGAGAAATATTTTCAATGCGAGAGTACACAAATTATTTACATTTAAACATCTTCAGTCAACTATTCAGCATCATACATACATAGAAATGACATTCTCCTGCCATATATTTTGCCTATGTACATTAACGAAGCACCAACTATTACTTTAGACACAAAAATGAGTATTCAATAAACATCTTGTGTTTCATTAGCTTCTCAAACTGAATTTTCTTATAAAATACTTAAATTAAAAAGTATTCAAATATTTCTCCACATATTTTCTACTGTTAAGCAGAAATTCTGAAACAGAAAGATTGTTCCTTAAATATTGTAGAATTATAAGTTGTAATTATTGCACCCGAGGAGTATTGTTTCAAAATAGTGATATTTTTATCTTCATATAAGCCTGTGTTTTTAAAACTCCACATGCACCATTAGAGCATTCACAAGATTAAATCAACAAATCTTGGGCTGCAGTATCAGAGTAGTGTATCGTGAAATTCTGACCAATAACAAGGAAAACAAATTTTTGCTAACACCAGGAGCATAATATGAACTCAAAATGAGTATGGCTATGAGAGCTAAGTGCATTGCAATGGAGGATTCAATATGTTTCCTATCAACAGACACTCTAGCTGTCAAGAAACCTGACAATGTCCTACAAGGTGTGGGACTTATGTTGGAGTGAGTGCTGCTAGCAACAAGAACCTCGCTGATCAGGCCATCAACCAGGCCTGGTCTGGGACCATACTGCAGAGGTGAACCCCAAGACCATCAACAAGTAGGTAGCTCTTAATCTATATGTTTACAGGAACTTTTGGAATGACTCTGGCAAAAAATAGCAACTCCCACTCCCAGACTAAAAAATATTTGGTTTGGTGTTAAACAAGCAAACCTAACTTAACAATTTAAGAGCATGGAAGATGGTGTCTGGAAGCCATCTAGAATGCATGAAAAATGCTGCCATCTTTCACCAAACCATTCATTTATATTTCTCCAATTCCATAACTAGAAACTACAATATAAAAAGAACCTTTGAGCACAATTTCCTAACAGAAGGAAAACTTAAATAAGCTATGACTGTGTCCTTATTATAAACATACATAGCTATAACAAATGGCACCATAATGAATGACTCACTTTATCCATTACATGACTACAGACATGGCTGTCATCTGCTGTACACATTAACCTCCGTAAATACTTCTACAATTTCCTTAATATACACGAATCTAAAAATCTATACAAACTGCCCATGTTGTTACAGTACATGTGAAGTGTTGCAAATTATTAGAATTAAAAAAAATGTTCATGTACAAAATGACCTAGGAATTCACACACGAACATATCACACACCTGATATGTTCTATACTTTATAAAAGAATTGGAAATACTTTCCAAAACTTAATGGACTATGACTCTTTTAAAGAGCAAATAATTTTCTGGGATCCACCAGTTATTTTGTGAAATTCTGTAATCTAAATTAAAACTTCTGCACAAAGCAAAGGCAATATGAAATAATTAGAATCTAACTTCCATTTTTAGTACACAATAAGTAGATGAAGGCAATCTGTAAATACTCAGTCTAACTGAACTACCGATGTTCCACTGAATTTATCTTAGTGTGAAAATAATTCTCACTCAAAACAAAATACCCACCGAAAACTAATTTACTATAAAACCTAAACATTAGCTGTTGTTAGCTACCTATTTTCTCAATTTGTCGATATTTTTTCCTTTGCATTGAAACTTTGTCCTTAAAAAGCACAGGGTCAAGACGGAGATTAGAATGTCGTAGAGGCATGTGCCCCATAAGTGAAACGAATGTGTTGAGGCAGACAGTTCGCTGGTGAAAATGGGTAGGGTCTGTCCATATCCATCTGAAAAGTAAAAAGAGATGTTCAATACAAACAGTATATAAAATGGAATTTAATTGCTTAAAAATCTCCCTTGAAAGATATCTAAAATCTTTCTAAATGTATAATGATACACGGAGTTCCTAACCTAAGAAAGTGATGGGTTCCTGGTATTTCAGTTGATGAATGTACCTTTTGTAGCCTAACCTATTATCCAATAAAAATAATAGTACAAAAGATAGTGTCAAACAAGTTTATAATTATAGATTGACAGTCAAAAAAGCAATTACTGGGCCTGATGTGAGTGGACAAAGCTGTTGGTTGACTCCTTGTTCCTATTACAGGACTGATAGGTGGGTGACCAGGTCTATGAAATGCTAGGCTAAGGAAGATCTTCAGGCTTCTTTCCTGTACCTCCACATCTTTTGCCATTCCATAATGCCTGGCCAGGCTGTCAGGGTAGAAGAAATTTCAAAACTAGTCACAGGCACTGTAATTACTTCTTCCTCTATCTGCATGCTTTCTCACATGTTGAAAAAAGTCTTCACTGGGTTACACTAATATTGTGAGTACCTTCCACTATGAGTGCCAATAAGCAAATATGTTGCATGTTGTAATCTTGCAGTTGCAAGGAAGCTAGTTCAGTCCCCATCATTGTGATTTGTTACTTTCATGATATAGTAACAATTTTCAGTTCTTGCTCTTGCATTCCTGTCATTTGCTGAAAATGGGCCCCTCAGGGAAGATTCCTTGCTGCTGGTAAGGGGGACTTTTAGTTCAAGGAAGTGGAATTAACCTCTTCCTTAGATCTAACCTAAATGCCTCTCATTCCTCAGTCACTGTATGACCCCTACCTGTGATGAAAATGATATGCTGGTAATGGGAAAACTACTCTCTCTCTATACTCAAGATGAATGAGTGAAGGACATAGAGACCTTAAGGAGCCTGGGAACAAATTCCACTGATGAAAATTTCTGTTAAGGAGTGCCATGGCAGGCAGGTCTGACACCTCCCCACTGTGCATTAAACATCTCTATTGTCTTAGTACAGCGGGAGAGGGTAATGTAAACAAACCAGCCTCCCATGCAGGTCAGTGGGATAAATCTTACAATTTTTATTTACCATCCTGTCATTCTTAATGGTTTTTATTCCTGTAATACTTGTCTTCCAATTTATTTGGCCTGGTCTACAAGGAAGATGTCTCCAGAGATACAACACCTAATAGGAGGGCCCCACTTAAACAGCAGGTTAGGTTCTGGGCCCTACTTATGAGGTTGGGTTCTAGGCTACTGCTATTAAGTGAAACAGCCTTGTTTCACTTTCAATTGCATATAATAACCTAATAACATATTTACACTATCTTATATAGAGCTAAGCCTAGAAAATGCATATACATGTATATGGAACACATTACTTACCTTAAAATATATTTGTCCTTAGCTTACAGTGAGTGGTGAAAATATTTATTGTAAGAGGTCTGGATAAATGAAAAATGGGTATAGTTGAAAACTGCATAGTGGGGGCTGCCTGTACTCTCCTATTTGTGGTTGCAGGGGTTGAGACATAGCTCCTGGTCTTGCCTCTTCACTAATTGCTACTAGGTCCTCTCTCCCTCCCTGCTCCATGAGCTTTATCATACCTTTCTTAAAACTATGTATGGTTCTTGCCTCCACTATGTCATTTCCAGACTTTTCCACTTCCTGACAACTCATGACTAAAGAAATACTTCCTAACATCTGAGTCTTCAACTTCCAATTGTGGCCCCATGTTTCTGTGTCCCATCTCTGGAACATCCTGTCGCTGTGCACCTTGTCAATTCCTTCTAGTATTTTGTATGTCGTTATGTTTCCCCTAACCCTCTGCTCTCCAGTGTCATCAAGCTGATTTCCCTTAACCTTTCTTCATAGGATATTCCCCTTAGCTCTGGAACTAGCCTTGTTGCAGACCTTTGCACTTTCTCTAATTTCCTATGTGCTTGACCAGGTGTGGGTTCCAAACTGGTGCTGCATACTCCAGTATGGTCATGACGTACATGGTGTACAGAGTCTTGAACGATTCCTTACTGAGGTACTGGAATGCTATTCTCAGGTTTGCCAGGTGCCCATATACTGCAGCAGTTATCTGGTTAATGTGCGCCTCAGGAAATGTGCTCGGTATTATACTCATCCCAAGATCCTTTTCCTCGAGTGAGGTTTGCAGTCTTTGGCCACCTAGCCTATATTTTGTCTGCAGTCTTCTTTACCCTTCCCCAATCTTCATGACTTTGCATTTGGTAGGGTTAAATTCGAGGAGCCAGTTGCTGGACCAAGCTTCTAGCCTGTCCAGGTTTCTTTGTAGTCCTGCCTCTCATCCTATTTAATTCTCCTTATTAACTTCACATCATCTGCAAACAGGGACACTTCTTAGTCTATCCCTTCTGTCATATCATTCACATATACCAAAAATAGCACTGATCCTTGGATTGACCCCTGTGGAACCCCACTTATAACAGGCACCCACTCCGATACCTCGTCACGTACCATGACTCGTTGCCTCCCTGTCAAATATTCTCTGATCCACTGCAGTGCCCTTCTTGTTATATATGCCTGATCCTCTAGCTTTTGCTCTAATCTCTTGTGAGGAAACTGTGTTGAAGGCCTTCCTGCAGTCCAGGAAAATACAATATACCCACCCCTCTCTCTCATGTCTTACTTCTGTTACCTTGTCATAAAACTCCAGTAGGTTTGTGACAGGATTTGTCTCCCATGAATCCATGCTAAGACTTTCCAAGTACAGTTAACCCTTTGAGGGTCGACAGGCCCTCTCCGAAACTCGTTCTCAGGGTCGGCCAAATTTAAAAAAAAAAAAATTATTTTCTCTTATGAAAAGATAGATAATCTTATCCCGATCATAAGGACACCAAAAGTTTGAAATTTGATGGAAAACTTACGGAATTATGCTCTCGCAAAGTTAGCGGTCTCGGCGATGTTTACGCATCGGGGATTTTGCCCACTTTGAGCCCCATTTTCAGCCAATTCCACTGTACTAGTCGACAAAAAACATGAATATTTCGCTAGAACTCCATTTTTTCTATCGAATGGGTGCAAGAAACCACCCATTTATGAAATTCAACTATCCAGTACAGTGGTCAGAATTTAGCAATTTTGCCAATTTCACACAAATTTCAAAAGATGCCAATTTCCGAAGAGGGTCCAGAATAAACAAGAAAGACATTCCTGGCACTAAAATGACATTTCCTCTGGTCATTAGTCACGTCTCAAGGTCCCTCTTATATTCTTTTGCTTTCCACTTTGAATTTTTATTCTCACAAAAAATATAAGATTTACTGTTATGCAGACTACTGCATTAGTGTAAAAAATGGTATAAATATTATTGGTGCACTTGTGAAAGAATATTAGACTCGCCAGTTGACGTGTATTGCACGATTTGTTTACTTTTGAAATGTGGTAAAAATCGAACATTTCTGCTACTTTGAGCTCAATTTCAAGGTACCTTTCATTGTAAAACCAGTCAAAATCATCTCAATTTCTGTAATATGTCTTCCATTCTATAAAATGAGACCAAGAAAACTAGAATACAACAATAAATACCATACGAAAATACAGTGCAAAGTCGCTGTTTTATTCCAAAAAAATTATCAAAGTTTTTTTTTCTCGTTATGCACTGTGTGCTGCAGGATTTTTTTTTAGACTGTGCACACTGACCACATAGACCCATTCTTTCATATGAAGGCCTACCAGCTTTCTCCCACTAGATTTGAGGGCGCTAGAATTTAGGCGTACTAGTACGTCAAAAACCCTGGGTCGTAAGCCGTACTAATACGTCCGAAACCCTCAAAGGGTTAACAGACTAAGCATGCTTGGATAAGCTCATAACAGTCTTAGTTTGATAAAGATAGTGGTTGTTTACCTGTCAGGAAGCAACACTTGAGGTGAGTTTTAATTATATTATCTATTCTTAATTATGTATTCAGTCTAAGGTGGTTGTACTGGCTAGGGCAAGGAGTAACTGTAGGTTAAATACATGATCATATTTAATATTAAACTAAGAAGTTCCAGGTGTTTAGGCTTCATTCTTTGGTAAGAGCTAGTTTCAGCAAGTAGGTACGAACTGTGTATTTTGGAAACGCATAGCGTTCACCATGAGAGATCTGAGATTAAACCCCAGTCACATGCTTATTGTACAGTAACTGTTCACCACTAACTCACTTTTATATGAGAAGTCATATTACATGTATAGATTAGTGTGTAATACTGAATGAGCATAGTGGTTTAGCTCAATTGTTATAGGGTTCATAATTCAAATCTCACCAGTATAACTCATGAAACTGTAATAACACAACTGCAAACAAATTACAGAATGTGTGGGAGACTAACCCTTGGTAGGTGTGTCCTTAAACTTGGAGGCCAGTGTGCTAACCACTGGACCAGCTGACTCTAATAGGATTCCTCCAACTAGGCATATTTCTATATAAAATAAGGAGGTTAGCATGGGCTGCACTGACAACAAATGCAGATTTTTAAAAATTCTACACCAGAATGGCTGTAGCAGGTTCTAGCTCAAGGACCTTCAAAGCTGCCATCATGACTCGTGAAACTACAGAATAGGTAGGACTCGTCTGCCGTGGATTTAAGTGTTACATTCCTGTCATCTTTTACAGACTCTCAGATCATATTGAACTCTTCTAGCTAAATTGGCTTCTCAGAACAGTTAAAATGTGAGGGGGGGTTATTATTATTTCATAGAGATGAAGTTCTATTAATCCTTTCATTGGCTGTCGCATAGATCTACGGCATGAGCTCACTCACACTTGTTTACAAGATGAGTATCGTGCCACTCGAATTATCTTAAAATGTGGGCATTGTTCGTTTTCAGTGTTCAGAGCTTGACTAGTAATCATTTTGTCTTCAACTCCTGCTACCCTTTAGTCTTACCACCCTCTAGTCCTTCTATTTTGGCCTACCTCTGAGAGAATGGGTCTTAATATAAACATTGTTGCATATGACTTTCCTCTAACTTGTACAATACTTCAGCTGCCAACAATCTAACGACAACACATACCTTGCTTCTGAAGCATTGTCCTTGTACTGTTTGCGCTGAGTGAGCTTGATAGGTGGTCGTCTGGTGATGGCAGAAACTAAGAAGTTCATGAGAATGTCATCACAGTTTGAGGTGGTTTTGACAGTGGAGAGAAGACCTGAGGGAGACTGATAGGTGTACACGTGCTGCCAGTAACGGTGATATACTGCAGCTCCCGTCAACACCAGAGAATACGAATTGGTCCATCTGCTTGTATAACTCCATCCCGCCTGAAAAAAAAAAAAGGCTTAATTACAAGCGGGCCCCATTTTACTTATGCAGTGGTTGTCAATTGTACCTATTCAAACTACCTACAATAAATATATTAACTACTCGCTATAAGCTAAGGATGAAAATATTTTAAGTAATGTGTGTACTGTTCTCCATGGGTAAGTGGAACAGAATTCTTCCTCCGTAAGCCGTGCGTGTCGTAAGAGGAGACTAAAATGCCAGGAGCAAGGGGCTAGTAACCCCTTCTCCAGTATACATTACTAGTTAAAAGAGAAACGTTTTTTTTTTCTTTTTGGACCAGTTTGTTGAAAGAAGAAAGAAGTGTATATATGCATTTTTTAATCCTAGCTCTACTGCTCGCTTAATATATGATAGCATAAACATTTTATCAGGCTTTTTGCATATAAAAGTGGAAAAAAGGTTATGATTCATTTTTCAGTGATTACTGCTTTGCAGCAGTAGCCCAGAACCTAACCTGCCTGTACACACATTAATTTTCTTGTAATTTCAAAGTCAGTGTCTTACCATTTTCTTTGGATTGGGTTACAGGATATTTGTGAAGAAAGACAATCTATGGAGAATGCATGTTCATTAGTAAATTACAAAAAAGAAAAAACTGATGAATATACTATGACCCTTGTAGGTTTAACATATCTTTTTTGATTATAATAATTGGTGAATGTACTGGCCATTAACATTTTTATATAAGTAATGGCAAATAATGTTATTTAATACAGCGGACCCCCGCTTAACGATCACCTCCCAATGCGACCAGTTATGTAAGTGCGTTTGTACGTGTATGTTTGGGGGTCTGAAATGGGCTAATCTACTTCACAATATTCCTTATGGGAACAAATTCGGTCAGTACTGGCACCTGAACATACTTCTGGAATGAAAAAATATCGTTATCCGGGGGTCCACTGTACTTGTTATAATGTATTTTTTTTATGTCATCTACGCTACTCTGAATGCTGATTGTAGCTTACCTTAGTGTATGAGGATGAATAAAATGTTCAAGGAAAAATGCTCAGCACTGTTCTGTGATAAGTACCAACTTCCACTGTTGTTCACATTTTAATAGACTGTCCTGTATCAGTGGGCACATACAATTTACTCCCAACATTATCTTGTCCCTAACTTGACCTGACCTCCTTGCTGATGGTCCCACCTTTGATGCAGACTCCCTTTTGCCTTCTTGTCAGTAATTACCTTAACTTTCAATTATATTTTTATATTTAGTACTCTTAACTAGCCTTGCTAACTCTGCCTCTTGCACACTCCTAACTCTCACTGCTCTTTGCATATTCCTTCTTTAGCACATCCCACCCTGAAGTGCAAGGCTTCAATGCTTAGTTTTCATTATAATAATTATTATTGAAAGAATGCATTACAATAATACTATATGCATTCTGTATAGGGTGCATTTTTTAACAGCCTGTGTTGTTATTAACCCCTTGACTGTCACAACCCCCAATCCTGAGGTGTGTCCTGGTGTCGCAAAATTAAAAAAAAAAAAAAAAAATCTTATGAAATGATAGAGAATCTTTTCCCAATTGTAATGACACCAAAAAAAACGAAATTTGATGGAAAACTGACGGAATTACACTCTTGTGAAGTTAGCGACCTTGGTGATATTTACAAATCAGCGATTTCGCCCACTTTGAGCCCTATTTTCGGCTAATTCCATTGTTCCAGTGGACCAAACCCATAGCTATTTGTTTAGAACTCTGTTTTTTTTTCTATCGATTAAGTACAAGAAACTGCCCATTTCAATTACCCAATAACGTGGTCAGAAATTTGCACTTTGGCCAATTTCACAAAAATTAAAAAATATGACAATTTCAAAACAAGGTCCAGAATGAACAATGCAGACATTCCTGGCTCTAAAATAACATTTTCTTTGCTCATCAGTTATGTTTCCAGGCCCCTCTGATATTACTCTTGCTTTCTATTTTCAACTTTTATTCAAACAAAAAATAGAAGATTTACTGTTATGCAGACTACTTCAATACTGTAATAATATTACAAATAATGTCAACCCATTCATGAGTGCATATTAGAATGGCTAGTTGGACATTTACATCGTTTGTTTACTTTTGAACATCGGCAAAAAATCAAACATTTCCCCTACTTTGAGCTCCATTTCTAGGTTCTTTTTATAGTAAAACCAATCAAAATCACCTCTATTTCTATAATATGTTTTCCATTCTATCAAATGAGGCCAAGAAAACGAGAATACAACCATAAATACTCTATGAAAATAGACCACAAAGTCAGTATTTTAATTAAAAAAAAAAAACGGTCGGATTATTATTGTAATCAAAAAGAAGCTCTAATTTTTTTTTTTTCATGGTGCACACAAACCCATTCTCTCACATGTGGGCCTACCAGCTTTTTCCTGCTTAATTTGAAGCCGCTAGAATTTATGAGTACATGTATATACATCAAACACAGCGGCTCGTAAGACGTATATATACGACCGAAACAGTCAAAGGGTTAAAAGCCAAATGCTAAACCAGTAGGAGTTGTACAATATTACACAAACATTGCATTATTCAAGGGAGGTACCTTGACAAAGGGCTCTTGATCAAAGATTTAGCTACCTTACTTTGGAATAAGTTATTACTTTTCCCCCACAAAAAGTATGATCACTATGGATTTAGGCCTTCAAATTACTTTAATAATATATAGACCTATAAAAACTGTACATTTAACCAGTTTTTTTTTATTCAAAGCCTTTCAAAAGTAAGTAAAACTTCAACACTGATACTACATAATTTTTGTTACCTTAGAATCATCCCAGTGATGTGAACGTGCAGGATAACCAACAATTCTGTCCGGGAATGTTCGCCATACAGTGAAAGCAAAGTCAAGCTCATCTGTAGTGAGTGAAACATCCTCATCGAGGGAGAACACAGCATCGGTGGTAATGAGTGGGTGTGGGCTGTGTCGTGCTGAAGTTGACCGATCCGCCGACACTACGATGTGTACTGGAACACTTCCTCCTGGAAGACGACTCTCTGTGGGTGCAACTTGGCTACTGCTGCTCCACACAACTACAATCTGTAAAACAAGTCACATACATTACAGATGTTATACTGTATCCCCTTGCTCAATGCATGAAGCTGTATAGTCCTTGTGGCTTAGCGCTTCTTTTTGATTATAATAATAATAATAATAATAATCAATGCATGAAACTACTGTATTAAGGTAATATTAATTTCCACTGTAAGTAGTAATGTTATAATATACTTCATGCACAATTGAAGCGAATGAAAATAATTCCTCGTGTCTTGCCAATTAAAATATTTTTCAAAAGCTAGTGAGAATACACACAATGAGCTGTTCAAAATACTACCTACCTCAGTTGAGTAGTATAACACTGTACTACTAATACAGTCCTATACACAAAACTTTGTTTTTTTTCTTACATAATTAGAGTAGAACCCCCATATCCATGGATTCAGTTATCTACTGTTTACTGTGGCCCAAAAACGACCATTAATTCTGCTTAATAATGGCCCCAGAGCACAATAGTAGTAATACTGGCAGTTCTTTCAAGGCTAAGAAATGCTTCCTATCAGTGAAAAGTGCTAATTCTCAACTCAGTGTATAATTTATCAATTAAACTATCATAGGTATGTCTGTAAACGAAAAATGACGGGTTTGGGATGACATCTGAACTGTCATATCTGAGTACCTCTGCAAAGATAGTAATATGGTGAAAGTGTTTTTCTTTTTTGGGTTACCCTGCCTTGGTGGGAGACAGCCAATGTATTGAAAATATACATAATATATAGGCTTCACCATTCTCCGTGGTTTCAGGTATCCACGGTAGGTCTTGGAATATATCACCAGAGGATGGGGGGGGGCTTACTGTACAATCATTTCAAGGCATATGCTGAGTATGGCCAGTAAATGCTTAGCCACCACCTAACATCCTGTGTCAGGAGGCACCTGTCTGGTGTCTGCAGTGCCTCATTTAAACAAATTGTAAGACAAATGACAAACACTTTGCAACAGTGCTATTTATACCACTTTAGAAATACTTACCCTTTCAACAAACTTGCTACGAGCAATATTCTTGACCAGCTTGTAGAGAGGTGTGGTGTGAATTGGACTGCTGCCACCATGAGTTACTGATATCACTGCTGTATACCTGTAACAAAAATTTAAGGTGAGTAAAAATTACTTGTACCTAAATATAAATACATTACAAAATACAATGCATAAGTACTGCAGTAAATAAAAAATATTACATTTAGTGTCAGGCCTAGAACTGGATCTGCATGTAAAGGAATACTGAGCAGAACACAAGCTATTGATTTATGAAGGAATTCAGGGAAACTGATTCCTGGAGGTGGGAAGTACAGTGTCTGCACTCTGAAGGATGAGTGAAGATGTTTTAGTTTAGAGGATCAATGGAACTGTGAATGTCTGGCAAGACAGCTACTGAATGTATTTCCTGTTTTTGATCACTGTACCTTGATGGGAAACTGTAAAAAAAAATTAAATCCTATTGCTATGAGATATTCTAAATGAGGAAGCATTTATTGCAACTAGGCATACATCATGATGTATGTAATTTTGATAAAAAATAATAATGTACAGAAGAAATACAGGCAATTTGGGTTAGCAATACTATGCTGGTAAAGGAAATACCACTAGCTATAAAAATAAAAATCCTATACACTGACAGTTTTGTGGTAAAAAACAAAACAGATTTAAAAACGCTGTCAATGCTCACGACATACTGTTTAACAGTGAATGGGGAAGTAAAGAATCAGATAAGATAAATGAGGTACTGCATTATATACAAAGAGAACCATTACTGAAAAGTGACTAGGAAGAGGCAAAACATGCAGAGCACAGCTTATGAAGCTGTACCAAAAACCTATTAAATCAATGTGACAATATTTTTTTTTATGTGCATCAGTATATTAAAGAAACTTAAGTGAGAAACATTACCATCAACAGACTTAATATTTACTACAAATGAGAAACACTGCATAAATTTTGTGAACCAACTTGAAACATTATTATGTTCTATTGGAAATAACATTGTTGAAAGGTACGACTTATGAGAGGAAGAAGAAAAACAAACAGGATAAAATAGCTTATATGAAAGGAAACTATGATTATATAAGGACAGCAAGAGAAATAAAAATGGAATAATCTTACAAAGGCTCGACCCTCTTGGGTTGAGCATTTAACTTGATGGTATTATTACGCCATTTTAAAAAGGGTTCTGCAGCGAAGTACAACTTAGGAAAATGAATGTGCAGGAAACCATAATAATATATGTTAGGGAAAATTTGTTTATATAGGAAACCGCTCTGAAATACAAGCCTGACTCAATAATAAGAGCTGTTGCAAAAGCCATTAACAAAAACTAAATAAAACACTCAGAGCAAAAGCTTACTATCAAACAGTCTGGTTTCCAAATGCCAAAATCCTGCCTGAAATTATTAAGCTATTGCAATAGTTACACAAAATATTCAAGAAGGAAGTTGAAGGGTCATTTGCATTTACTTAGATTTAAGTACAGTGGACCCCCGCCTTACAATATTAATCCGTTCCTGAGAGCTCATTGTAAGCCAAAATTATCGTTAGCTGAATTAATTTTCCCCATAAGAAATAATGGAAATCAAATTAATCCATTCCTGACACCCCAAAGTATGAAAAAAAAAATTTTACCACATGAAATATTAATTTTAATACACACAAACTGAAGAAGACATGTACAATTACTACTCTACTAAGAAGAGAATACATGAAACTTACCTTTATTGAAGATCTGGTGATGATTGATGGGATGGGAGGAGGGGAGAGTGGAAGTTATTGTTTAGAAGGGGAATCCCCTTCCATTAGGACTTAAGGTAGCAAGTCCTTTTCTGGGGTTACTTCCCTTCTTCTTTTAATGCCACTAGGACCAACTTGAGAGTCACTGGACCTCTGCCGCACAACAAATCTGTCCATAGAGCTCTGTACCTCCCGTTCCTTTAAGACTTTCCTAAAATGGGCCATAACATTGTCATTGTACAGGTTGCCAACACAGCTTGCAGTAGCTGTGTCAGGGTGATTTTCATCCGTAAAGGTTTGCAGTTCGACCCACTTAGCACACATTTCCTTAATCTCGCTTTTCAATTCCATACTAATTCTCGCCCTTTTTACCACAGGGATGACACTAGAAGCTTTCTTGGGGTCCATGGTGACTTATTTTGCAGTTACAAGCACTAAAAACACTGGGATAATGTGAAATGTACTGAATGTATGCGTAGATGCAACCACACTGGCTGGCTTGTAAACATTGGTGCTGAGACCACATGTGGGACACGTTGCGGACGAATCACATAAGGCGAGTTTTTTATCGTGAGGCAAGGCAAAATTTTTGCATTCAAATGCTTCATATGGCGGATTTAATGTAACGCGATGCGTTCGTAAGGCAGGGGTCCGCTGTACTTAATTTATAAATACGTATAGGAAGAATGAAAAAAACTACAGTATTATAATTCATGAATTTTTTTTTTTGTTGGAAAGGAAAATGAAAACGATGATATTAACCCTTTGACTGTCGCGGCCGTATATATACGTCTTACGAGGTACCGTGTTTGACGTATATATACACCTACCATCCGACTTACGATCACTCGACTTACGACCGTGTTTTTTATACCAAATTTCTGGGAAATAAACAACTATTTGTGTTGTACACAGTGTTTATCCTAAACCTTACAGTATAAAATACAGTACTAACAGCATAAAAAGTAAAGTAAAACATGAAATACCAAAATAAAACAATAAAATAGTCATTACAAAAATGTTTTGTTGATATTCAGTAGTAAAGTTCGACTTACGACCATTTCAACCTACGACCGGTTTCTCGGAACTGAACTCTGTCGTAAGTCGGATGGTAGGTGTACTCATAAATTCTAGCGGCTTCAAATCAAGAAGGAGAAAGCTGGTAGGCCCACATGTGAGAGAATGGGTCTGTGTAGTCAGTGTGCACCATATAAAAAAAATCCTGCAGCATGCAGTGCATAATGAAAAAAAAAAAAAACTCGAACCGTTTTTTTTAATTAAAATGCCGACTTTGTGGCCTATTTTCGTATAGTATTTATGGTTGTATTCTCGTTTTCTTGGTCTCATTCGATAGAATTATAAAACATGTTATAGAAATAAAGGTGATTTTGATTGATTTTACTATAAAAAAAAACCTGGAAATGGAGCTCAAAGTAGGGAAAATATTTTATTTTTGCTGATGTTCAAAAGTAAACAAATGATGTCATTGTCCAATAAATGTCCAACTAGCCATTCTAATATGCAGTCATGAATGGGTTGATGTTATTTATACAATTATTACAATATTGCAGTAGTCTGCATAATAGTAAATCTTCTATTTTTTGTTTGAATAAAAATTCAAAATAGAAAGCAAGAGTAATATCAGAGGGGCCTGGAGACATGACTGATGAACAAAGAAAATGTTATTTTAGAGCCAGGAATGTCTGCATTGTTCATTCTGGACCTTATTTTGAAATCGTCATATTTTTTAATTTTCGTGAAATTGGCCAAATTGCAAATTTCTGACCACGTTATTGGGTAGTTGAAATTGGTAAATGGGCAGTTTCTTGTACTATATCAATAGAAAAAACGGAGTTTGAAAGATATAGCTATGAGTTTGGTCGACAGGAACAATGTAATTAGCCGAAAATAGGGCTCAAAGTGGGCATAATCACCGATTTGTAAATATCGCCAAGGTCGCTAACTTCGAGAGACCGTAATTCCATCAGTTTTCCATCAAATTTCGTTTTTTTGGTGTCATTACAATCGGGAGAAGATTCTCTATCATTTCATAAGAAAAAATAATTTTTTTTTAAATTTTGCGACACCAGGAGACACCTCAGGATTGGGGGTTGCGACAGTCAAGGGGTTAATAATGCAAAACTAAGTGAATAAAACTCTGCTCACTATAACTCCGAGTATATATATAAGTGGTAGTAACTTCGGCATACATTACCTCGAGTTTGGAGTCGTACCAAAAGAGGTCAAGTAGAAGGGAAAATGTGGCAAATAGTCGGAGAAGGTCAAGTTAATTGCCAAAGCTCCTGGACTTGAGTTCCAGACAGACATTGGATGTGATCTGTGTCTTCTCACTCTGTCTGCAACAATCTGCAAATATTTAAAGCATAATCTACCACCATATAGAAATTAAGTCTGTTCTTCATATTGAAGAATCACTGTTTTCTCAGTGTCTTAGTCACATAATAAACTACAACCTTTTATAAAACACTTCAACAAGTTAGCTAGATCAAGCATCTCCTCACCTCAAGGGTAGAATGTACTATCTTTTGTATGGAAGAAAAATACTGATTCCACATGATTTGCGTTTGTTGTCTCATGTGCAGCATCTGTGAAGCATTTATGGACCGCACCATATCTGGCACCTGTATAAGATGTATGTAGAGTGAGACACATGGTAATGCACTAAATAAAACTAATCAATTGAAAGTCTTAGATTTTGATGTGTAAATGTCTCTAAAATTATTATAACTGTTAATTCTACTATATTTTTTAAGACCCACAGAGTATACTAAATTCAGTCTAACTGAACAATTTATAAGTAATTTTAGTCTTGGTATAAGTAGAGGAAAGTCCCACTTTACAACCAATCAATCAAATAAATTTTATTTCTTTGCATAGATTACAATGTATGAATGCATATAAAGTGTGCTGACTGGTACAAAGAATGCCACTAGCATGCCGGGGCATTTTGGGCAGACTAAACCTAATGCTTACAGACTGCTTCATACTAGACATATAAAGTGGTAAATTTTAATTATACATTGTTTTGATAATGCTGAAGTTTTCAATTATACCCATTCTTCATTTATTCAGACTTCCTACAATGAATATATTCACCACTCGCTATAAGCTAAGGACAAAAATATTTTAAGGTAAGTAATGTGTGTGCTGTATATGCATTTTTCAGGCCTAGCTCTATAGCTTGTTTAATATATGATAGTGTAAACATATCAAGCTGTAATAGGCATTTGAAAGTGAAAAAAAAAAGGCTATGTTTCAATTTACAGTGATTTTCACTTTACACCAGTAGCCCAAAACCTAACCTGCTGCATAAGTGGGGCCCTCCTGTATGCCAGAACTGCTGCACATAACTATGGGCTTGTCAAAACCTAAAACTGACATACCTCTACCAAAATCCTGGCCCTTCAAAAGGAAGGGAAGATTGTCTTGATACTGAAGGGATTTGATCAAAGGACTTAGTTACCCATCACTAGAATCAAACCTGATTACTCATTCCCTAGGTTACTGTGCAACCCCATGATAACACATTCTTGTAGCATTCATTAACTTGTTTTAAAAAAATATTAGTCGCTCTTATACATTATGTCCAGCACAGATATTCTTATATACATTATAATTATTACCTGCAGGAGGAGTCTCTCGTCCGCTCGTATAGTAGACTGGCTCCAGTCAATGACCTCACTGAAGGGGAGTTCCCATCCATTGGCCAACAACACTGGAATACAACCAGCCTGCAGCACCTCCAGGAAACGGAAGGACCCTAGGCGACGACCTCGGGGCACCAGGCAGAATGTTGAATTCCTCATCAGAACCTCATAATCGTACCTGTAGACATTTAAATTACATATTAGTTTCTCTTTCATTATTATTATAATAATAATTAAGGGGCTAGTAACCCCTTCTCCTGTATAAATTACTAAATTTAAAGAGAGAAACTTTCGTTTTTCTTTTTAGGTCACCCTGCCTCAGTGGGATATGGCCAGTTTGTTGAAAAAAAAAGTGCTAAACCCACAAGGGTCATACAGCAATGAGTTTTTCTTTCATAAACAGGAATAATCAATGTAATAAAAACAATGGTATTAACGTTCAAATTCGTAGCTACAAAAGTAGATCTACTTTTTTTTTACATATTTTCAAATATAACAAAAAAAATGTAGATAAAAGTTTTTTTTACACGTTTTCAAATGTAAAACAAAAAAGAAGATCTACATTTTTTTACATACAGTGGACCCCCGGTTAACGATTTTAATCCGTGCAAGAGGGCTCATCGTTATGCGAAATAATCGTTATGCGAATGAATTTTCCCCATAAGAAATAATGGAAATAAAATTAATCCGTGCAAGACGCCCAAAAGTATGAAAAAAAATTTTTTTTACCACATGAAATGTTAATTTTAATACACACAAACTGAAAAAGGCATGCACAATTACATGACACTTACTTTTATTGAAGATCTGGTGATGATTGATGGGATGGGAGGAGGGGAGAGCATTATCTTCTTACTGTTTAGAAGGGGAATCCCCTTCCATTAGGACTTGAGGTAGCAAATCCTTTTCTGGGGTTACTTCCCTTCTTCTTTTAATGCCACTAGGACCAGCTTGAGAGTCACTGGACCTCTGTCGCACAACAAATCTGTCCATAGAGCTCTGTACCTCCCGTTCCTTCAAGACTTTCCTAAAATGGGCCATAACATTGTCATTGAAATAGTCACAAGCACGGCTTGCAACAGCTGTGTCAGGGTGATTTTCATCTATAAAGGTTTGCAGTTCAACCCACTCTGCACACATTTCCTTAATCTTTGAAGTAGGCACAATGGATTCCACAACTGGCATAGGCTTCTCAGGGTTAGCCCAAACCCTTAAAAAATCTTTCTTAATTTCCATACTAATTCTCACCCTTTTTACCACAGGGTTGGCACTAGAAGCTTTCTTGGGCCCATGGTCACTTATTTTCCAGAAACAGCACCGAAAATACTGTAATAATACGAAATATTCCGAGTGTATGCTTGGATGTTACCGCGGAGGCTGGCTGGTAAACAATGGGACGGAGCGGCACATGTGAGGCTGGCTGAGGGCACATTGGACGCGTCTCGGACGAAAATCGGTATGCGGGTTTTTAATCGGTATGCGCGGCAAAAATTTTGCGATAAAAGTAATCGTTATGCGGAAAAATCGCTATGCGATGCCATCGTTATGCGGGGGTCCACTGTACTTTCAGATGTTGAAAAAACGTATATATACGTTTGGACCATTTAAGGGTTAATACTGTACATAAAGACCAGAGTAGGTGAGGTTTTTTGATGCACATTCTGAGACTACACTTCCTTGTTCAGAGACTGTTTAACCAGGATCTTACTGTTAGCCCACCTGGTTACCTATAGGCAATTCTGAGAGTGAGTCACTTGCCCCCACAGCCCAGTCCCAGTTTCAGACCAGGCCTCCTCACTGATTATTTGATCAATTAGGCTGTTAATGCTGGCCGCATGCAGTCCAATGTAGGCCCCCACATCCCACGTGATCAAGAAATAATTTTGTAAAGCTCCCTCCTGAAGACAGCCAGGGGGGTCTACTGGTAATTCCTCTTATATATTAAAGGGCATTGAAAAGTCATGGTCCATTTACACTCAGAATTATCTAATAGTGTACTCATTACACCGCTGCCTTTCACTGGATTATTGTCGACCATCCACTGAGCACTCGTGCTTTCTTAGGGAATAATTCTGGCATGCAGCTTTGGGACCAGTCCCTCCAGAGTTTTCTAGGTGTGAATTATGATGTATCTTTTTCACTTACATTCAAGGGAGTACAGTTCAAGGGATTTCAGTACTCGACTGAATTTATACAAGCATGAAGGTTCTCTACACAGCACTTGCTCCAGATCTGTGATTTTTGGCCTGCCTTAAAAAGGAGCTGTTTGTAAACAGCAATATTCCAGTCTATAGAGAGCAAGTGACTTAGTGTTGGCTTGGCATCTCTTGTTTTGAAGGTACTAATTATCCAGCCTATCATTTTCCTTGCTACTATGATAGCAATGCTTTTGTGATCCTTGAATGAGAAGGTCTCACATTATCACTCCTAAACATCTTGCATTTCTCTTCTCCATTAAGTGGCTTCAGTTTGTTTTATACTCTCTTCCAAGTTTTGTTTTCTCAATATTTCCATAGTGAAGTAACTAAAATTTGTCCTCACTGAACATTGTTGTCTGTGGCCTACTGGACGACTTGGTTTATACCAGTTTGGAGATTTGCTGTACTCGATGAATGCGTATCATACATATTCTAGAACCATCTTGCAAAGGATGATGCAGTGTTATGAATTATGTCTGATCATGATCAAAGAGTTTACAGAAGCAAGACTGCTAAACACACACATTCACAACCATTGCATAGCCCAGGGCAACATGGGTTTAGTGTGATGTTCTTGCCTCTTGCAAATATTGGACCATTATGACATGGTCTTTGATGCACTGAAGGACAAACAAAATAAAATGTAGCAAAAGACTTCAAGTGTGATCGCGGTGTAATGGCACACAAAATATGACCAAAAGGAATAACAGGAAAAGTAATAATATGAATCTAACTTTCTAACAAATGTTACCTAAAGAGTAATAATCAAGAGAGTAAAATCAGAGGTTGCCACAGTGAAAAGCTTGTCCCCAAGGCACCATACTCAACCCACTTCTCTCTCTATTCATATATCTGACAAAAACTGTGACAATTACTAAATAATGCTATCGTGCTTTGCACATGACATGAATTTGAGAGTGGCATCCATAGATTATGCTGCAAATCTCAAAATTCGTATAAATAAATTAATTCATTGGGCCATGATATTTACTGAATACCAATTTCAGTTACTTTGCAATGGAAAAATTGAGGAAATAAAATCCTGAATGAGAGTATAAAATCAAACCATGGAACTGAATTATCGTTGATATTATCACTTAGGAGTGGTGGTGATTTTTGAATGAAAGATCTGATGTTATCACAGTCACAAGGAAAATGATAGACTGGATAACTAGAACCTTTAAACTGAAGAATAAGACACTTACACAACATTTGGGAATCTTTATTATGGAAATGTTTTGCCAGCCAGTGACTTTTTGGTTCAATTAGTGTCTCTTAAACTTGTTGGTTTTCTAAACCATTTACATCAGAGAGCCTTCAAAACAAGAGATGGCAGTGATGACACAGTAGAAACCAGAAAATAACCCTTAATTTTGCTTAATAATGGCACCAAAGTAGTGATGTCATTCTTCAAAGCCTAAGAGAAGCCATGAAGTTCTTCCCATCAGTGAAAAAGTAATAATTCTCCATGTATTGTGCATCATTTATCAGTTAAACTTCATCATAGGTATGTATATTAAATATTTAATTAAAGTTGTCAGTTTGTTGATGTGTGATAGTAGACAATGGCTCTATATAATGTAGGTAAAAATACCTCATTTATAACATGAGTGCAGTGCAATTAAATTAGTATCCCCCAATTACCATAAATTGATTACCAGCGTCCGTCGGGTTGATAAAAAATATGTATTGTACCAGAACGAAACCAGCATCCATGTTCTCAGTCAGTTTGTTCAGGTTCCTCAGGTCAGTTTTATTATGTTCAAGGTTTGTTCAGGTCCCACAAGTCAGTTTTGGTAGACTAAGTACAACCTTTTGGATACAGTGGACCCCCGCATAACGATCAGCTCCCAACTCGACCAGTTATGTAAGTGTATTTTTGGGGGTCTGAAATGGACTAATCTAATTCACAATATCTCTTATAGGAACAAATTCAGTCTATAACGGCACCCAAACAAACTTCTGGATTGAAATAATATCGTTATGCGGGGGTCCACTGTATTTTATTTAGGAAGCATTTTGCTCCTGAGAAGCAAGATGTAGGTTGAGGAGGAAGATGATCATGATGCTTACAACACACATACCAGAGCTACACCTCAACCCACACACAACTAGGTAAGTACATGGCTGATAATGCTTGTGTAAGGAAGAATAATACTAATGAGGAAGTAGACTTCTATCCAAGCAAGAGTGGATAGAAGATGGGACACAATAATGAATGGTAGGATGAATGAAGAGGGAGAAAGCAATAAGAGGAGAGGATAAGATGGGAGAAGAGAAGGGAGAGAGGAGTGAAGGGGAAGCAGAAGGATGTGGAGAGAGAGAGGTGAGATAGGTGTGTGAGAGGGAGAGAGAGAAGTGAATGAGGGAGATTTAGATTAGATTTTGGCAAACACATAGTTTGCACACCTCATATCCATCCTGTAAACAGTGGCACAATAGCCTATGGATACCAAAAAGGCCTAGGAACTATAGTAGACCCCAAAAGGGTTAACAGGAGTATTGGAATTATATTTACAGTTCACTTATCTGTTGCAAGCAATTTAGAAAAACTACTTAATGTGTTTTGTATCTTATTTTCATTACTATGGTATTTTGACATATCACTTGGATTATTAAACCGTCTATCTCTATATTCCTCTTAAGTGGACAATTAAGCACACAGTGTTTAAAATAGTGACCATAGGGTTGGCCACATATCTGCATTTAGTTTGATCATCATCTGTGGTCAGTCAAGCTACCAGAAGTACTTGTAACTAACAGTCAGTCAGTCTGTTCACACTGCAAGTTGCTTCACAAATATGCTTATCTATGTTTGTTATTGTGAGTTACAGATCTACCTAGGCTTCTAACTGCATTCCCTTAACAGTTTATTTATTTCTCTATTATCATTCATAATGCCAAACACAAACACACCAGTGTCCACACTACAAACTGAACTGTTTGTCATCCTATGGAGGTAAAGTTAACTTATGACACTGAGCTTGACATCACTGAAGGCTCTTGACTCGCATAATGACTCCAACAACATGCTCAGTGGAGAAGTTAGATATGCTCAAAAATCTGGAAAAAAATTAGTGTACAACCGTTATGGATTCCACCACATATTGGATTACTCCTTCATAACAAAGTTGATAAGTTAGCTAAAACAATAGGATCCTGAAAGAAAATGTTGAATGAGGGAAGAGAGAAATGTTGGGAGAGATGTTAGTAGCTACTACTGACAATGATACACAAATGTAAACAGCAAGAATACTGATGACTCTCTGA